AAGATGGAAACGGTCATTCGATCACCACAAAGCGGCGTAATCAAGAAGCTAGCGCATAATGAAGGCGTAAGTCATCAGGTCTCTCCTCATTGATCCCTGTCACTAACAATGACATAGGATATCTGCAAGGCTGGAACTGTTTTGGTGCTATTTGAAGAGGAAGCTGGCGAGGAGTCATGAATTGAGGCGAGCAGATTTTGTATCTCTGGGTGTCAAAGACATCGCATCCGCGTTCCTCTAGCGAATAGTTATAATTATGGCGTCTAACAAGCATTTTATTTCGGCGATTCTGATCACAAAGAGCATACCAATACATTGCAAATGTCTATTATTATTCTCATCTCCTCCATTAGCCTTCTATTCGAGGTACTCTCACAGCTTCTTCAATCCAGTATTACAAACCCTTCAAGCGAAGCATGTATCCGAGTTGCACACGTCCGCTTAAGTTAACTATGTCTTTGAAGCAGGCAAAACTGAGCCCAAAGGAGACTTCAGACCTACCCAAAACCTAGAGGGAATACTCTTAATCGCGCAAGGTAGTAGCTTCCAGTGCTCTTGACGGTAGACTCCAGAAGAAGATGACCCATAGGGATGTCTGTAAGGTCGCTTTGGACACGCGTTCTATAGGAAAGATCCTATCGTGGTCGCCGACTACAGAATTTACAGCGAAACACCTTCTTCTCCTTTTTCCTGCAGGTAGGCTGTAAAGTACAATGCCGTTGCACTATGCTCTGTCATGGTCATTTTGGGTTGAGTTTGCTGCCCAACAGGTCATACCTTGCTACACTCAACGACATATTTCCGCCGTCTCAAAGTTGGGAGAGTGAAGAGATTGAAGTAAAAACTTCTACTGCTTCAATGCATAGCGCCACAAATCGTCAAACGCGTCCACATCAGAAATTCTATTTGGGTTGTGGCGCATCGGAGATGGCAAAGACGCCAGTTTGGTGAGCTCTCCGGGTTCATCTGATCTCCGCAGAGCTTAAGCAAAGTTTGCAAGATACATACTCGATACGAGGTGGTGAAGGAAACGCCTGAAGTAGGCGACTGTGGCGTGGTCCGCATGGAAGCTTCCGTTTCCGTCTGGGGTGTATGCCTATGAGTATATATCAGATCACCGAATTGCTACAAAAGTAACCAAGACCGGTAGAACGGGATGCAAAATTGGAGTTACATGCGCACCATCGAAGTACCGGGGCCTTTGACACCGTTCTCTGCAAGGGGAACTCGATTGATCTCAAACAAGAATTAATCCCTGGCAATATGCCTCGTAGGTTGGGCCCGACTATCAGCAGATTGCGTTTCAACAAAATGTTTTGTTGTTGAACGATCTATAATAGCTCCGCAAGCAATGTGTAGGTTCTATGTAGGGTACAAATTGCTTGAAAGCGTAGAGAAAGTGATGAAACTTGGTACTCTCGGTTCCCGCGCCACACACCTTTTTGGGGTCCTAGGTGTTGGTCTTGGGGACCTTGGAAGTCTTACATATCTTGCATATGCCAAAGCATTGCTTTATTCAACCTTGAGAGTAAATTTCATGGCGACAGCCATTAGACTTTTGAGCTTAACGGTGTCTGACGTTTCCCCATGGGGTCCCTGCCCCAGGCCACCAGTACTGATTTGAGTGGATAGTATATCAATGGCCACATCCCATCTTCATGGCTTTCTTGTACACCAAGAGCCACACAGAGCGGGCAATTACATTGATCGAGGTCACCCTTCAACTTTCTGACCTAGACCAGACGCACCATTGGCGTCTGAGAGATACGGGACAATGTCAACTTCTTCAATCAACAACCTAGAAGGGTAAGTAAACCGCCTCCCTTGAACATGCCATCTCAGCTAATGGATCACAATAGCTCGAAAGGCGACAAGACATCCTTCAACGCCGTCGAAGTCGTTCACAGGGATGCTCCTCATCTAGGTCCATCGTCTAGCAGCCAAACTGATACAGGAGAGTAAGCTGCAAATTACTCGTCAACTTCTATGAAGAGCTCATTGTCACTGACTTTGTTAACTTATAGACTCAGGAACCCCCTAGCAGGAATTCCTAAAGCCAAACTGATAACTGACGCCGAAGAGTTTGCCAACAAATATGGGTTGGAAGCAGACGCCGAATACTTCAAGAAGGGAGCCCTGGCAGCCCAGAATCCGACAGCCTACAATGAAATACCTGAACTAACTGAAGACGACAAGTCTGTTTTGGTGGAGGAAGTTGAGCACCGGTGGAGACATCCCAAAGCACTCTACTTCACAATCGTCATGAACTCTATCAGCGCGGCGGTTCAGGGATGGGATCAAACGGGCTCTAACGGTGCCAACTTGTCTTACCCTCAGGTTTTCGGCATCTCGGACAGAGGAGAAGCTTGTCTCACTGCTGGAACCTGTGAAAGGAACTCATGGATCATCGGAGCAATTAACAGTGCGCCTTATATGGCCATCTGCATCATGTGCGTTACTACCGGGCAGTCTCATGGCTAGGGCTAGCTAACCGCGTAACCATAGTGCCTGTTGGCTATCAGACCCCGTCAACAACTGGATGGGTCGTCGAGGCACCATCTTCATCGGCGCCATTTTTGGTCTTATTGGCCCTATTGGCCAAGCTCTATGCCAAAGCTGGCCTCAAATCTTGGCCTGCAGAATTTTCCTTGGAATGGGAATGGGGTTGATGGAGGTTACAGTACCAGTCTTTTCGGCCGAAAACTCTCCTGCCAGCATCCGTGGTGCGCTTGTCATGTCTTGGCAATTATTTGTCGCCTTCGGTATCATGCTGGGGTTTACAGCGAATTTGGCCGTTGTCGACTTCGGGGACATCGCATGGAGGCTGCAACTAGGTTCCGCTATGATTCCTGCGGTCCCCCTTTTGATTGGGATTTACTTTACGCCAGAGTCACCACGATGGTTGTTGAAAAAAGGCAGATACGCGAAAGCTCATCGGTCCCTTCTCAGACTAAGACGACACCGTCTCCTCGCTGCTCGGGATTTGTATTACATACACTCACTATTGGAGATGGAGAAAAGCATCATCGCAACAACGGGATTTTCCAAGGGCAACTTCTTCACACGGTGCATCGAGCTAGCTACAGTCTCGCGCAACCGACGCGCGGCTCAAGCGTCAGGCATCATCATGGCCGCTCAACAGTTTTGCGGCGGTGGGTCATTTCCCAATCTTCTTTGAAGATATATTTCAGAAGTGATAGACACTGACTATTTTTCATAGTTAACCTAATGGCCTTTTACTCATCTACTCTCTTCGAGCAAGCTGGAGCGAGTAACAAAGTTGCCCTCCTAGCTTCTTGGGGTTTTGGCATGGCCATGTTTGTTTTCGCGATCCCTGCGCTATACACCATCGACATTTGGGGCAGAAGAACTTTACTGCTCGCCACGTTTCCCAACATGAGTTGGACATTGCTTGGCGCTGGCATAGCGTTCTTTATCCCACAAAGCAACCCAGCCCACCTAGGTCTGATCGCAATGTTCATCTACCTCTTTGCCTTCTTTTACGGTCCAGGAGAGGGCCCTTGCGCATTTGTCTACTCGTCCGAGGTCTTCCCCCTTTCACATCGCGAAGTCGGAATGTCCTGGGCCGTGGCAACTAACAACTTCTGGGCCGTCATTGTTGGCCTGACAACTCCTCCTTTAATTCAAGCTCTAAAGCCACAGGGATTGTTCAGCCTGTTCGCGGGGCTAAACATCGTGTGCCTGGTCGCCATATTTCTCTTCCTCCCGGAAACCAAACAGCGCTCGCTCGAGGAGTTGGATGAAGTCTTCTCGGTCCCGACGCGACGACACGCCTCCTTTCAACTGAAGGAAGTTTTGCCCTGGTGGTTCAACCGGTACATCTTAAGGAGAGGGAATGAGCGTCCTCCACAGCTGTATAGCTTTGAGATGGTCGAGAACGTGGAGGCTGGGTCTAGATAGCTGCAGGCTGCAACTTTCTCCCAGGTCCGAAGGTGGCAGCGCCTGCCAGTCCTCACTTAAGCCCTCCAGCCATAGGAGTCCCGCTGTGCAAGTACTACTAAAAACATGTGCGGATGTTTGAGCCACTCACAGCGCAACATGTGTTTCCTTGGGTTTGGTCAGGCTATCTGCAAGCATCAAAACTGTTGCCAACGATTTTGGATGAAACATAGGTGATAGCGGGATCGTAGCGAATAGTGGTAAGATTACCAAGTTCAAGTAGGCAATAAGCCGGATTTCGAGAGCGTTATTCAATTAGTTGGCATGAGGTTTCTCCTGTCTATGTTTGCAAGTATAGCGTATGCCTGAGAGTCATCTTATATGATGCCGCCCCCTACATCTCATGAGGCTTTGACACGCTGCAGGTCGCCATCCCGAAATTAGCTGCACCAGATTTCCAATTCGTTCTTTCACAAGAATGGTGCTTTTTCTTCAAGTAAATACACGTTGTTTTAACAATGATCGATTATTCGGAGATAGGTTTGGGAGACCTAGCTGTTGACTGATCATGTATAGCTTAGAGCCAACCAGTATGGTCAGATTAACTGCCGGCGCCACTGGCCGCCCGGGAGAAACCTATCGTCAGAACAATTAAGACTTCAGGACGATATTGCGACCATGTAAACAGGAGGATTATCAGGTCTCAATGACGCCACCTCTATGTCTATTGCCAGCACGTCTCTAACAAATCGTACTAAGAAACAAATCACATGCTTACACTTATGACTAATTTTCAGCATACTGTCTTTATACCATGCTTTTAGCAACTTCCCAATAGTTAATAACGAGGGCCCTAGATATCTATCGCGGAGGAAAGACTTGTCAATCCCATGATTTTACAGCGGCCGAAATGGTATTAGAGTGGAATTCAAGAAGGTTTGCAATATAATGGTTCTACCACGTTTATAACTTGACTTTGTTTTTTTTGTTTTTTTCTCAAGGAGACTTAACAGTTATAATCAACCATTAGGGGGGCTTTAATTGACAAACATACGATCTCTCTTATTATTACTTCTTAATAAACAAGAATCTCAATAAGCACTCGACAAAAGCAGACAAATCAACTGATCAGTCAATAGGCCAGTATGCCCGCCACAACTTCAAAAGCCCTTCCAGACTCTAATTTCCGACACTTGCATCCGAGAAATTACACATTATATCCATCAATGAGTACAACTGTCTAGATCTACTGCTTGTTACGACGACCACGGAAGTGGTCTTCGGCCTTATCACGGGCAGCACCGCGGTCTCTGCTGGCACAGAAGACGTAATTGCCTGTGTTTCTGTCGCAAAGAAGGTTGTTACGGTCTGTCGCATGGTTAGCCAAATTATTCTTTTTGGATACATGAGAGGGCGTCCGCTTTACCATAGGTAATGATCAGATACTCGCTTGCGGCGCAGAAGGCAATGTCATCACCCTTGCAGTTAGGGTCGTGGTTATCACGGCCAAAGTCGTCGTCACGGTCGCAGCGGTCTCTGTCCCCATCGCGGCGGCGGTAACACTCGCAGCGCCGTTCTCTGAAGCCATAGTACTGGTTCAGTCCACACAACTGAATTCTCTGCCACTCCCGGAGAAGCTCATAGGCCAGTTGCTGCTGCTCGCGAATGGCACAGAAAAGCCTGTTCGTTCCGTCATTGTAGCAGAGCCTGTTGTTCGAATCTGGGACCATCGTCAGTTGGTTTAACTACAACCATGTGAACAAGAACGCACCGTATTTAGTAAACTCAGTGACGCTCCGGCCACAGTAGAGGTCATCTCGGTCATCGCGGCAATCGCCTCGGCGGAAGACTTCAACATCTTTGGGGGGATCAGCTGGCATGGCTGCCACACAAGACATGCCAGTAATGGCGGCCATAAGGATCTTTGAATAAAGCATTTTGATTGTGTGTAAGATTGCGAGTGCGGATATGATTTAAAGATGGAAGATGGGTGAAATCGGAAGGGTATCTTGAACTCGAAGGGATGAGGTTGCTTGATTGCTTGATTGCTTGATTGTCTGTTTGATGGAGAGAATAATGCGATTATCGTGGGCAGGAGACGCATTCTTTATAGTCGATCAACTGTCAAACTCCAGGACATCCTCTTGGTGCAGCTGCACTCATCGATAAGATCGATGTGCTGGTTGTTCGCATTGCGCCCAGTACAGCCCAAGTTGATACCGTTCAAACCTGGTTGATACTTTGAAGGCATTGCTAGATAGGCATAAACCTGGTAGCTGCCACCTATGAAATGCGCATATTCCTAGCCAAAGTCGGGCCATATTCTCTATGCGGAAACAGAAGTGTAAGCAATGCAGTAATACGACCGTTTTCTGGTGAAGATTATGTTTTTACAAGGGTTCGTAGCCGCTGTACGAACGCTTCAACCCTGATGCATGGGCTGCTTGAAGATGGTTGCAACCTTCACAATCAAACAAATTATAAACTTCCGCCCTAGCCTGAGAAAGTGACCCGACTGCCTGCTTTGGAATCGGCAAGCTGGAACAACATCCTTGGCAGCTTTGCAGGTTTTCCGAAATGGGACGAAGTACAATGCAAGGTTACCAGGCAAAAGCCTAAATCCTGGTATTTGGTTTTCAACAGTTGAAGGGACAGCTTCATGCTGTGCTAACTTTTTCCAGAATATATGCGAAATTGACTGGAAATATGACAGTAGAGCGTTTGATAGGGCGGATAAGTCCTAATTAGTGTATTGATTATGGTTGCTTGGGTGCTAGTATTGCCTATGAACCCCCTTGCTGCTCAACTGGCTAGTAATGTGGATGCGACAAGGGCATTGATCTTGAGCTTGAAAGCTTTAACAGTCAGATAGAGGTTCGGTACCTCGATAATGGGGAAATATTTCAATAAACAGCTTGAGTTGGTTCGAATGAAGCGCATGGGCACCTGTCCGTGAGTGAGATCGGACCTTTTTTTTTCTTTTTTTTTCTTCTTTCTTCAAACCCCCAAGAGGATGATTGCGAAGACTCTGAATTGACCGCCACTTAAAAGTATGGCGTCATTCAAGCCATTTTAGGCACTTTACATGAGGTCGCCGCACTGCCATACATATGACGACAATCCAGCCTGGGTAACAGAGAAGGCCAAGATGAATATACCGACAACATGTCCTGTGTGGTTCAAGAATGTTTGCGCAGATGGTTTATTTCTATGGGATCAAAGCGACAGGATGTCGAGACTTGCATCGCCGTCTAGATTCACAGGTATTCCATGAGATCCGCAGGATGAATAGGCATCATACCGTATTCAAGTTTCATCACAGCTGTTCCGAACAGCTAAACAAACGTTGAAGGCCGATGACCAAATGGCAGTTCGTCCCCCGAAATTAAGGTCCTGCGCATGCCATTTTCCCTGCAGATGCGTCGCACAGAGGCTCAATAGCCTTATGCTACGGTTTGCATTGTGATTTGGCCCCTCAACCGTCAGCACGAACCAACCGCACTGAAAGGTTGGAGCGGCAATGCGACCGAAAAATGTGTGTAAAAACATGAGCAAACCTTGGTTCGCCTCGTCAGCATTGGGAGTTGCTGAGCAAGGGGATCACATTATCGCATCATTCACCACCTTTCATTGGTTTGGAGCTCGAGCATACTGTTGCACCGATGTTCTGGCTTCTGGGGATAGCCTGGATGTCCCTTTTGGCCAATTTTCGAGGTCGGGAGGCGTTCGTCACATTGCCTAATACTATGCCAATATCACATCACGAACGCTTATGCCTTTGACCGGTTTCGAAACAATGTCCGACTTGCCACGTTGAAGTTCGGTTGCTTATGCCAGAGGCTCGTCGCGTGCACTCGACGTACGAACCGGTTCACGCACAGGCATCTTGAGCAAACCATAATCGCGCGGACAACCCGGCGGCAGCTATTGGAGCGTGCCATTACCATCCGGAAAAAGCCGGCAATTAGGTGCGTACACCTGACAGATACATGAGGCGGGCAGAGGGCCAAATAGGCCATACATATATTGAAACTCGTAAAAGCCTTATCATAGTTCAGACTACGCTTTAGGATATCTCGGCAGCGGCAAGCTAAAGGAAACATATCTGTCGACGGGGGCTTCTCTTGTTTGCTTCGAAGTGATTCGGATAAGGCGAGAATGGGAAATCGCTCAGGTGTTCATGCATACTGACAAATAAAAACCGAAAGAGGGCGCAAGTATGTTGATGGGAAGAAGTATTAGGGGGTCACGAAGATGACGCATGAGGCATCACCGGAAGCCGCCCTGAGAGCCTCCATTGTTCCAGTGTCCCTGGTTCGCGCCCGCATAGCCGCCATTGCTATAGCCCTGCTGATTGTTAGAGCCATAGTTGCTGTATCCTTGCGAGGGCGGACTCATGGGCGGAGGGCTGTGTGGACTGTCAGGCGATCCGAGTCTGGAATATCCACCTTGAGAGGTGCTGCGGCTCGGAGCCATTGGAAGAGGGCCCGAAGGTGGCATGCCGGGGCTCTGCATTTGCAACGGAGATGGCACTGGTCCCCGACCGTTGGGTGCGTCGCTGTACGCACCCGGTGAAGCCGCGCCAGCGGCCGCCGGGGCAGAATCCCAAACATCCTTCTCCTGGGTGGCGGGGACGCTGTAGGCGTTCCCTTGTGCCATTCCGCTCTTGCTGAACTCTGCGGCATTGTACTCGGTGCCTGTTGATCCAGCGAAAGAATCGGGATCAACACCGCGTTTGTGGAAACCTTCGAGCTCAAGGCGCTCGCTTTCGGCCTTTTCGGCAGCAAGTCGTGCTTCGGCAGCACCGCGCCTACGCTGGCGGATGATGTAAAAAAGACCGAAGGCGATGAGGGCGCAACCCACGCCGACACCCCCTGCGTACACGGCGGTCTTGGCGGTCGGGCTAAGTGCGTCAAACTTTTCGCCGACGGACTTGCTAGGTTCCGCCAGAAGCGCTTCTTTGACAGTCGAGTTACCCCTTGTGAAAGATGTCAGTATGGTACGCTGCAGCATATCCTAGTGTGTTGAACGCGACTTACTCGGCAATCTTGATGCTCTCCCACGAGCCTGACTTATCCCCGAAAGAGTATTCCTTTCCAGAGCTGTAGTCAGTCACTTGCGCAGACTTGACGTACATAGTGTAAGGACCGGCAGCGTAGTCGGTTTCGCCTCCAGCCCACTCCTGGGTCCCTTTGGCCATGCGAGGGTCACCACCCGCCCAGATGCCGAGACTCAGGCGCATGGGTGTCTGGGGATAAGCCATGGAGTTGTTGGCGTCCTTCGGGAGAAGAGTCCGCACGTTGTTTCCATTGATCCACCACTCGAGCTTCTCCTTTGTCCAGACGCAGGTATAATTGTGGAAATCATCGTGAATACTTCCTGTCACCGGATGCTCACCGCCGTTGTTGAAGTCCTCGACACCCTTGCCAAAGTAGTTGCTCAGTGCATCATTCCTGATACCAAGAAACTCCCAATCGACCTCATCCAGCGTATCGCTAAGCCACATCATGGAGCTCACAATACCTTTGCCCTTGGCTGCCCTCATATGGATCTCGGTGCGGCCCCAAAAGAAGTAGAACTTGGTTCGAATCGTTGGAGAGTCGCCCTGCTTGCTGATTGTGAATTCAGCACCATTCGCGGCAGTGTACTTCACGGGGCCGACGGTCGTCTCCCAGGCGTCGCTCGACGGCGTGGAGTTGAAGTTGAAGCTGTAGTCCATACCGAAAGCCGGGTCGGCAGGACAAGTTGCGTTCATCGGGTTGCACTTGGTTGAGACTTGTGCGAGTGCGGGCCGGGCAAACGATGCCAGCAGCGCCACGGCCGAAAGAGCGTATTGCGACAGCATGGCTGTCAAATTTGAATTGCAGTAATCGCACGTACAGTAGAGTGATGGAGGGTTGAAGAGCAGGATTTGCGCTTGAAATCGAGATGCCGCCTATCAGTCGGAATAGGTGATGGATGCGCGAAAATTGGTTTAAGAAGCAATACGTCTAGTATCGCAAGTAAAGATGATCGACAAAACACGGCGCGCCGGGCAGCATGAAATGGACGAAATGAGTGACGGGAGTGAGAGGCAGAGAGAGTGTGCCCGTAGTTAGCGGCGAAAGAGTGTTAGAAACAGCAGTATGGCAGACAAATCCGCTGTGGTGTTGGTGTGGAACAGAGAGTCAAAGGAGAGACTTTCAAGCGAGCGTCGAGACCGGGGAGAAATGGCGTTGGTGGGGGTTCAGGAGCCGATTTGAAAAGGAACGTGGACACATCAGGATGAACACCGGGGCCGATATTCCCCTAATGGAAGCACGGAGGGCCCGTTGAGTTACAATTGGGGGAGGGGGGCAATGGAGAGTAACGATAGGAGGCGATCTCGTCTCAATCTGTGTGAGGCGGAGAGACAGAGGCAAGACGTGCCAGGGTATGCTAGCATCGCGGCAAGCAGCATGGTGATTTAAGGGGGTGCCAATGTCTCTTGCTCCTCTTTTGGGTTCTTGGAGTTGCACCTGCAACGGGCAGCGTTTCCGCACCCGAGCCAACCAGGATTAGCGTCTCAACTATCGGTCGAACCAGATGAGTGCAGTAGCCCAGGGTCCGGTTCGCGGTGGCACCGCCAGAGATTATTGACCGTTGTTAAGCGACCGACCGGGAAACTCTGATGGTGATCCCGAGATTGTTTCTCGGCCCCAGGGGCAAAGTCCTTATTGTTGGAGGAGAAAGGAATCGAACAAATCGGACATGGCACACGAGTTCATAAACGTGTTTTGCAGTAGATCATCATTATTTGAATTTGTTTTTGTTTTTATCCATCTTTAAATCGGTACATAACATGGCTATTGGTGTCATTCTCCCCTTCGCGACCATACAAATGGAGCGGGTGGAACAGGGGCTGTTAATCACACCGCCGCCCTTGCATTAATATTTACCCCGAACAAGTAAGTGTTTGTTTCTTGGTTATGCTATCAAAGCTGTCGGCCTAGGCACAACCTAGCGTCTGGGGAATATTCGGTTAGTTGTGTTAGATACTGTAGATATACGACAATGGAAACATCGTGTTTGCTGAA